TTGAAATTTGTATGTATCTATGGCTTTGATGTGCTTTATAAAAGTTTAGAACAGAAAAGGTTGATTGTCTTCGAGCCACTTCTGTGCTAAAAAAAAAAAAAAACAATTTTTACTCAAATTCAACAAAATGGAGTTATTGAGTTTTGGGGGAAAAAACTCTGTATATACAGTAAATATGTAAAAAGTTAAATAGTTCATGTGCCTTCATTTTCCTCTAGGCCATCATAACAGATAGATGGATGTCATAATTCTGACTGGGATAAGTAGTAAATCTCGGACAAATCTGGGAAATTTCAGGTGAAAAGGCAGAATTCTGAGATAAAAGTTTGAAATCTAATACAACTTCCAACATCGAGAGTATTGTTTAAGAAACCATTCTCTCTCTCTCTCTCTCTCTCTTTCTCCCTCTCTCTCTCTTTTAGCCATGCTCTGGCTAGGTTGCTATGGGAACACCAGCAGACAGGTTCTCACATCCCGTTCTTCTGATTCTTCCTGGCTCACACGCCATTTATATTCATGCACAGCAGCTTCATAAACACACACGCACACACACCTATGTTTAAAAGAAACACAGCATCATTGAGCATCAAGCCACACACCCTCGAGACACACACCCCCCAGGGACACAAACACACACACACACCTATAAACACCCTCATAAACACACACTGCACTCAAACACTATCGATTCTCTCCTGGGGAGGTGTGCGAGTGTGTGTTTGGATGAAGCATTAAACCACACTGGCATTTCCATTTCTGACACAGAAAACCAATAAACAGCATCAGCTTGAAACAAATGCGCACGTTGTGTGTGTTTTGGGGTTTAATCAGAACTAATGACTGCAGAAACACACACTCTCTCTCGCATTGTATGATCAGCCTCTGTAATGAAACACCTGACTAGAAATGAGAAGCAGCGCTGATGGAGCTTTTTGAATCTTTGAATTAATACAAACACATCACACGCTCGCACATGACAGAGGATAAATTCCTCCTCCTGATTTTGAAAATGAGGTTATTAGAAAAGAGAGCGGAGGAGCAAATGCGTGTCTGAGAAAGATAACAGTTTTTCTTGCTCTTTCTTGAGCTCATTTAGAAGGATAAGCATCGGAAGAGAGAAAGTGAGAGCAGGAGAGAGAGAGAATTCTTTCTGTCAATGGATGAAGTGGTACTTATAGCCTGGATATTGTTGCCATATCCTCTCTATAAGAAAAAATGACGCAAATAAGGTTTCATCAGAAATCATAATGAACCTTCATCTCTCTGAAACTCAAGAGTGACAAGTGTGGGGGAGTGGGTGTTTTAACACCCACACTTTTGCTGGTAAACGTTGTCTCTCCTTTAAAAATAACGCACTTATCAATCAACAGACCTTCCAACTCTCCAAACTCTTTTATTTATTCCAAATGAGAGAAATGAATCATTCCTAAAACAGAACACTCCTCAATAGACACACACCATAATAACAATTTAAAAACTACAATGAGGTTGCAGAGTGAGGCATCTTGAATGAAACAAGCCTCCTCAGATCCGTTACTGGAGGTCGGTGGAAACACAAACTGAAACGTGGCAAGTAGAAGCTAAATGTTACCACGCAGAGTTGGGCTGTTACTAAAACCCGGTGGAAAAGTGGCACTATTGGTAATTCAACTTGTTTCAGATTCTTCATGGAGTAGGTTTCCAAACCATTTTTAATCATATTGAAGTTGGTGGAGGGGAGGTCTTATAGTATTGGGTTGTTTTTCAGGAGCGGATCTTGGCACATTCAAACATTTTAAGGATGCTCTTAAACGCCACCAGTGCACAAAGTAGGTGTGGAAAAAGAATCCCAGCTAGGGTTGAAACAACTATAAATGGTCACCACCGAATCTCATTATCGATTAGTTAGATTAGAATTGCGTATTAATATTCAGTTAAAACTGTAATTTTTAAGAAAAAATGGAAATTATAAAAGCAAAGAAAGGAAAATTAGCTTTAGACCAGAGTTGTTTGTAAAAAGCAATTTACTAATAAATATCCAGATGATCCACTGGGAACTTTTTTTCTCCATTACTGCGAATGTAACTAGTAACTAGATGCTCTTTTAACATGATCCAGCAATCTTGCTTCATCTCAAGTGAATATTTGATTGAATTTGGGCATTTCTCCATTAAAAAAAAACATGTTTTTTTGCTTACATAAATGTATTCACTTGCTTAGAAATGTCTAATGTCAATAAATCTGTAAAAATCTATAATATCTATTATCAGTCTGCTTTTGATCTGAAACATTTTCAAAGTGTTTTATCTGTTAAACATGCTATTTTAAACAATGTTGCAAACAATTACCGTAGTTCAAGTTCAATTTATTTGTATAGCACATTTGAAACAGTCATTTAGGCTGACCAAAGTGCTTCACAGCAAACACAACTGCAAGACATACCCCAAGATCCATACACACAGAGTAAAACAACATGCCTGACAACTTTATGATAAAATTAATAATAAAGTTAAAAAGAGCTATATGATAAAACTCCTTATGATAAAACAAATAATAAATATTAATAACAACTTCATGATAAAATTAGTACACTAAGGCGAAAAAGTTAGTTTTGAGCAAAGACTGAGAGACTGGCAGCAAGTGTAGATGCTTCAGAAATGGGGTGATATGATCATGTTTTCTGTTCAAATTAGTCATTTTAAAAGACATTTTTATGTATAATTATTAAAATATTGATTTTATGTGTTTTGTCCCTTTCGTTTACAATTGTGGGAACACAGATTATTATATTTTGGATTCATCGAAAGAAAATATTTTAATATAAAATTAAAATATTCAATAATTTATTTGTATTTTTTTGAGTTTTTTCAAAATTGTAAAAGTGCTTTGATAACTGTTTACAATTCAAGTATTGTTTTGCTTTAAATCAATGACTACAGATATTGAGTAGTGAATATTTTTACAATGTGGCTTTAAGAACCGTGGAAGTTGGAAGGACCCTTTTCAACAATCACTTTTGTGAGAGAGAGAGAGTTTGAAAAATGTTTCTCTTCCGTTAACTGTTACAAGCTGTTGCACAAGAACACAATAACTGTGAACCGCCCTGAAGCTCATGTCTGCACACTCATTAATACTCATTAAATCACATTTAATCAAACAACTAATGAGCCTATATCATTAATACTATGCAGAGGGATTGCATCTGTTGGAATTAACATGCATGTATGAAAGTCTTGTGCAAATATGTTTAAGTATGTTCCACCCTGAGGTGATGAAGAGCTCCTTAAACATCTTAAAAGAGATTTTCCTTCTCTTTTCAATGTTGCCAGGGGTTCATGAGCATCATTTCTCTGCTATAAACTAATACAGAAAATAGAATAGATACTGTTTTATCAAAAGCATCACTGTCATGGTTGCTGTTTATCGTAAATCCTCAAATCCGCAACTGAAAATGCCAACCATGATCTAATTCATTTTTGCTGTCAATAGGGCATCTTTCTCCCCATTCTTTGATTTTGTCCTCCTCTCTCAACCCTCAAAAACCCACACTTCCATCAAAAAATTGACACTGTTCTTGGAATACCAAACAGCCACTGCACATGTGTACTAGATGAACTGCTTCATACAGAGGCCAATAGTAACCATGAGGTGGTTTGTGGTAAATGGAGACGATTCTCTACCGAAGCTTGTTTTATTTTTTCTTTCTGAGTATGTATTTCAGCCCATTTCATCAGCCAGGTTTCCTACCTGCAGCCTGTGCCACATCATCCGCACAGACACACTATTAGACAGTAAACACAAGCCAAGTTCACAGCCAATAAGAGTCATTCATGCTGGATACCATGAACCGTTTCTCCCTCTCATTATCCCCTTATATTTTGTCCATGAAAACCACAGAAACCTTAAAACATTAGGAAGTCTTGCTGTCTTCTGGTGGTCTCTAACCTCAAATTATCTCCTAGATTGCTCTAGATTATTGAGTGCATTTCATAATCCTCCATTTAAGGGGCCATGTTATGCTAAATCAAGCTTTTCCAGCACACTGATTTTTTTTTTATTTATTAATTCACTAGGTTTTCTTGTTAATTTGTCCTACATGATCAGATTGTGTGATGCTAAGATGATTCTACCATGTTCGCAAATAAAAAAAAAAAACAGCCTAATAGCGCAAATATATGGCAAGTTGAGGGCAAGCGTATTAGGGAACTGTCCCAGTAAGGGGTTCAGAGAAATCAGGCCCGTGGTCCCTCAAGATTGGGATTGTAGAAAGCCCTCCTTAAAGTGGCATTGGGGTGGAGGAGGGATTTCAAGCAATCAAAGTTTATCTATAAAAAACGCACTTGGAGAAAAGGCATTCCCACCCTCAGTGTTTGCCGTGCACCTTCATAGCATACAGAGGTATATAAAACAGTCATGTCCAACATGAATGAAGGTGCAGTACCATTTACCGATTTAAAAAACCGAATGAGACTCAAAGATCAGTCGGATAAATGATCTAAACTTCCCATCACTAATAAGCTCCTCCCGAAACTTGTTAAATAAACCATATTTATTTTCACCTAATTATAGTGTATTATTAATTATAAATGAAAGAAAAAACGCAAAAGACATTCTAACTGACCAGGTGATGACATGAATGTTATGTTTTTTTTAAATGCACCAAGCATTGTTGGATAATTGATTTAATGCTTTTTACTTTAAATAAGAGGCACTTGTTGCTCTTTGAGAAAAAAAAAGAGCTAAAAAACAACTATGAGTTATATCACAACCTTAGGTTACAGACTAAAAAAGCATGACATGAGTATTTACATCATACTATGTACAATTCATATATGACAAAGAAATGTTTCTGATAAAATGAAACTTGTGAAAAGGCTGCCTCTTAGTAATGAGGAGGATCACTTCATGAAAGAAACCACCAAAACCTGAATGAATGGGATGTAGAGTGTCTATAAATGAAGAATGACTTGCAATCACTTGTAATTTTAAATGGCTAAAATTACAAATAGCTTTTATTTTGATTTCCTGTTGATCAGTTGGTAGAGCATTGCTCAAGCAACGCAAAAATCGCAGTGGGTTCAAATCCCCAGGAAAGCAAGAACTGAAAAAAAGTGTTCATTCTTTCAAATGTAAGTCGCTTTGAATAAAAGCGTCTGCTAAATGCATAAATGTAAATAAGACAGAACCCTAACCAGGAGATGCTATGATTATTACTGTGTGTGATCATTGTACATTGACTTGATGCATTGTCCTTAGAGCAGGCACTTAAGGCACCTTGAGAAAAAAAAGCCAAGGCACAGAGAAGAAATATGAGATCAGGTTTTGTCAAAAAACGATGACAGGACTTTGAATAGAGGCCTTTTTTGTGACAGTAACCAAACTCTTCATATGTTATGGAATTTTTCCTCTGCACTCTATGGGACAGTTCCATTCGGGGACTATCCATTGTGTTCAGCACCACTTGTTGCTTTTTTTACGTTCTAAGCAAGACGTACTGTTTGATGTGAGCAATAGAGTTCCAGTTGTATTAGGTAACTTTTAGTTTTGTTAGGTCATGTGTAGTAGAAAACTGTACAAAGTAAACTTAAAAAAAGGCACAACAGCTTTTTAGATGCACCAGGAACAGACAGCACTTGCCTGTCTTCAGTTCATCTAATGTTGGATTTAACTGAGAAATTACATTACTCCAGGTCAATGTTCAAATAAGAAAAACACTTGTTCAATCAGGACAAGAGCAGTCTGTGCTCTTCTCTTTATCTGAAACCATCCGAGTCTCTCAAACAGTTCTCCATGTTCCAGTGTTTTCACGCAATTTGTTTGATCAAAATACAAACAAAAGTCAGCACCCCCACCCCCTCCTTTTCCTCTCTTCTTTTCTCCTCTCATTCTTTTTGTGTCTGCAACATGGAGCCCATCTGGGATGGGCAGCCATGGTTGTCATGGTGATGCTCTCCATCGGGGCCTGCGATTGGCCGGTGGACAGGCAGCAGGCTGTGTCTAGTTTGGACGCAGCCGTTTGAGTCCTCGGGGATGCCGCCTCATGCAATGCAAATATCACACCTTTGAACTCACTGGGTGCTATCACTCTGACTCATTTGGAAAATGAAAATGTAGAGTTTTTACGCTTGAACAATACGGATGTGCTCTTAGACGGCTGTAGCCAACAACCAAAATTCTTTCACTTCGCTAGGACTTTAGATTCATTCAGTTAGTTGGTCTTTTCCTGTATTCAGGTTCCGATTCAGAACTATTTGATCCAGAAGTCAAATGTTTTCATTAAACAGTAAGTTTTGTCGGCTAATTTGAAAACATAGATGGCTGCACTTTCAGTGATTTGCAGCAGAAAATGATAAAAAAAGGAATGAAACCCAGAAAACCTGTAGTAGTGGGATGTAGAGCATGAATAAATGAAGATAAACTTGCAATCACTTGTTTCTTCATTAAGCAGGTAACAAGAAACCGCCTCATTAAAATGAAATAAATCACAATGAACATGTGAGTGGGTAAACAGGCCCAGAATCGTCCTTTTTAATGGGAAAAGTGTGATTTTTAACTGTAATGTCTGTTAACACTCTGCCACATGCATCCGTCATCGGTGACCTGACTCCAGCAGACTGATTGGGTTTTAATCTGGGGTGGGGGTGGGATTATGGGTTGTGGTCTATTGGCCAGATTAGCATGATCAGATTCAGCACACACTTGCTGTTTTCCATTATGCAGACGGCACAGATCAATAGCTCACAGGAAAAAGCGTCTCTATTAATGATGTTTGCATGATTAACTGCTGAGTGAGAAACAGCCCATTACTGTAAGCGAGGAAGAAAAAGCCTGAATGGATGGGTGTTCTGACGTCTCCGTGCGCAACAGCTAGGAACAGGGCAAAGCGAGTTTGTCCTGACTAGTTGTGTCCCTCCCACAATTATCTAAAAACTTTAAACATATAAATACATCACATGATCACTGCATATAAGAGCCATTCCAACGCATGGATAGCATTTCTGTCCCTGGGACTATATATGTAAAATAAGCTTTAAAATCGTTTTAGAAATACATTTTATTCCAAAAAGTGTACTGCATACTTTAAGCTGTAACATTTAAAATAAAATCCACATGAATCACTTAAAAATAGCATTTATTGTTTGTCGTCAGTCTCTGCTGCTACACTTCACCATAAAATATAATGATTAAGATCTTTTAAAAAGAACCTTTCTTTTGCATTGATATGCAAATCATATCATTTCATACATTTATTTACACAAATATCCATACTTTCCTAACTTTCTTAGATTACCTTAACCCATGCCCCTTCTGAAAAACTGGGGAATTTCCATTATTAGTCCATTTTCAACAGGAAGTTGCATCAGGTAAGTTCTCTCAATTTCTTATTTACATATTTGATGATTTTGTGATGATATCTTGGAGTGTTGTTAACAAAATACTATCCACTTACTCAAATTATATCAGAGATTTAATTAGTTTATTGCAAAAATGTAGATATTTGGAGAATAACTGAATTTGCAAAACCTCTTGGTTCTATAAACACGTTGTTTGTTTAAATTGTTTGCTGAAAACTCAGTCCTGTTACTTTCAGTCTAATAAAAATAACAATAAGGTTAATAGCACATAAAAATGGCACCCATCTTATTTAAGTTACTAAACCAAAACCCATTTGGAATATTTACGTTTGTTTGCTATTGGAATCGCAAACGGCAGCCATTTGGTGGAATGGCTCTTAAACAGTGCATCACTAAAATTTCATAAAGTTCTTTCTTCTTATATGAAGCACCAGATTACAGCAGTAGTCATTTAAAATTTGTGTTTTTTACATTGTCAAAAGCATTGTCAAATGCTCTTTGCATAGTTAAAAAGCTCATTTATGAAAATGTTGTTAAACAGAATTGCTAAAGAAAAAAAAGTTAAACAAAACTGAAAAAAAAAAATTTTTAATTTGTTTTAATTTGCTAAAATAAAGCTATTAAAATAAATGTTAAACTAGCTCTTCCTCAGTGTCAACTATTTAGAGAGGGACCGAATACAACCGGAGTAGAGTTCATTTATCTCTTAAGATTTTACTGTGTATCTTTCAACACTTTCTTTACACCATTACTACATTTAGTTTTTTAGAAAATGGACAACAGCACTTAATTATTCAAATAAGGATGATCTCATTGGATTGGCCAAATTGTCACAGAGTGAGACAGCTTAAAGTTAGTTCGCTGTAAATCTGTACGAATAGAGAGCTCAGTCTTTCACTGAACTTTGTGTGACTCGGGACAAATATTGAGTGATATTGGACTAAAAATCTAAGACCAGCTCCAGTGTATTACTGACAGGAAGCTCGGCTCTTTGGGAAAGCTAAACATTCTTTAGATTCTATGTTCACACTGAGGGAAACAGACAGGACAGCTACCGACTTTAAACGACTTCTGACAGTAAATTATTTACTTTTGTGAGTCCATTTGAGAGTGTGAGGAGTAGAGATGGGAGTGGGTGAGAGATGGGTCTTTGTTGCTGATTCTCCAATACAGAAGAATACAACTGAGGGCTTTTTAGCTGCTGAGGAAGTGCTATTGATCACACCACCATCTTGCACTGGGTTGCTATCCAAAACTGCTTTGTCTTCCTTTATTTACCCTGGTCAATGTATGCCTGAGCTCTCACGTGGAAGGACAAGGTAGATGGTGTAGAGCTGAACTCCATATTTAAACCTCATTTTCTACTGAATAAAGATTCATTGATGCTCTACACACCTGCACTCTTTAAAAAGTCTTTAAAATAGAAAAACACTGTCACATGCTTCTGGGATTTCAATCCTGCAGCACCTGCAGTGTTTTCATTGACAAACATTGTCTTTAGCCTTCCGCCAATCTTAAGGATTCTTCAACATACATTCATGATTACGCTTATAAATCCAGGCTAAAGGCCTCCACATCGCACAAATCTTCGGAATGCTTCTCAGCAGGGTGCTCTTCGTCGGGGAGAGGCCGTTTATGGTACAACACACAGGAAACAGGAAAGAAGAAGATGACGGCAGAGAAGAAATCAAAGAATACGTAGAAAAGGATCTGTTTGAGCGCCACCGAGTGGCGCTTTTACAATCTACTCATGTCATCGAAAGAGCCAGCTTTCATTGGTCATTCTCCTTGGGGAAAACCAATCTGATATGGCAATACGAAACTCTTTTTCGTTGGCACCATTTGTTCGATCAGATGTGTGAGCTCCCGTTGGTGCGGATGGTTTTCGATTGAGGTGCGTTGGCGCATGAAACTTTGGATCCCACACACACAAAACAGATCTCCAACCAAATAAAGGCCCACGCTCACTATTGCCAATCAGGGGCCAAACATGGGGCACCCCAAACAATAATGGGATGTTCTGATCTAACCTCACAAGCCACTCACATAGACCCCAATTCGAGCATGTTAAAAAAAATTCCCAGACTGGGAACGCAAGCCTATCTCATTTCTACAAAAAGACCATTTGGAGTGACCTGTGACCTGGGAATGTGATAAGAATGTGCAACTTATAGCAATATTTATTTAAATCACAACTTTGTACTTGAATTTCATGCAGCTCTTTCTACCTGAAAGAGAGGCTCCAGTAGGAAGAAACCCGAGGTAAACAACCATGAACCATTGCTAACGAATCTGGAACTGTTAAGATATTTACTTTTTTTTTTATTCTGACATTAGACATTAAAATCTAACGAAAGCCACACACGGATCCGCTGTATCTTTCTTTGTCTTATTTTTCCTTTTCCTTCATGCTCAGTCTCTCTTGCACAAACAATTCTAGTATTTCTCGAATCATGGTCACCGCTGCTGATTGAAGGAAAAGGACAGTGCACACACCACTGTTCTCCATCAGATTAAACCCAAAGCCTTGAGGTGTTAGCGCTAGCTCAGCCCTGTGCTGAAATGCCATTCAGTGACCTTTTATCTCTTTCTCTCTCTGTTCCTGAAACCCTGAGGCTGATTGTCTTTAAAGGACGAGAAGATTGTCCCTATATATGATTCTGATTAAAACTGTCCATCTAAATTACAAGCACATAGCCAATATTTTTCATTTACATTTTACGTTTTTGTTTTTTTTTTT